CGATCCGAGGCCCGAGGAGCGATCAGTGACTGTGTTCTAGCTGGTGCTTGTGACTTCGACTTCAACCGCCTTGTTCTTGAAGCAGTCCATTGGAGGTAATAAGGGCAACAGCGTCGCATGATGTAGGGTAGGGTTGTGGTGTGAATAAAGCTCACTTCTTTACTCTATCATGGATACATATGTGATAATCCTAACGTTTTTAGTCTCACACTTTAACGGGGTAGCCTATACACATGTAGTCTCTAATGGAAAACGAACAAACACAACAACTGGGACCATGAAAAGTTGTTGTTTATTTGAGGAGGAAGAGAAAGGAGGAAAAGCGTTCGTGCCAGGTTTAATTTTGGGGCTACCATATACTACAATTGACCCACCTGGCCTCTCCTTAAATTGGTTTAAGAAGCAGTTGAGATTTGATCTGCCACACATTACCAGGAGACGCCACTGCCTCCCCATAGGGCCACATCTACTGGGATGATCAGACTCCATCTCTTTTTATGTTCCCCTCAAAAGTAGATGTGGAGATCTCCATTTGGAGTGGGTTAGAAAGAGGGATTTCGCTGATGCGAGTTCCCAGAGAAGTGGCAGATTTAGACAAAGAACCAGCGCGTTGTACCATATCACCCTGCCTCACTAAAAGTATAGAGCAAAATGGTATAACTAGCTTACCCTTGTGACGATCTACAAATTGGGTGTCTGGTCAAGTGATGTACTGTAAATCCAGAAAAATGTTGGGCACCATTAATTGTAGGCTTTCACCAATAGGTCACTCTCTTGGAGAGTCCCATTAATTTTGCCGGTTATTAAAGTTAATCACAATTAGAGCTGGGTAATTTAATCGCGCAATCTGATTGGTCCATGCGCGGACTCTAATTCCGAGTAGAGCGAATTTACTTTCTCCTGACTCTAAATTTGGCGCATGCGCAATGGCTCACTTACGTTGGGCCGGCCCCAACGGTCTGCGAAGGTATATACGTAGAGGCGAGCCCATTGTCGACGTCCTCCTGGGCCTCTCGCTCGACTTCCCAGCGAGAAAGCAGCGCTCGTTCGCTGGTCAGATGCAACCGATTGAATTGCGCGCACCGGTTCCATATCTCTACACAAGTTAGACGCCTCGTCCCTGGAAACTACGACGCATTAAGACGCCTTGGGGGCCCTTAGTAGCGTCCTCGCTGCGCCGACACCCAACAGCCCAGGGCCCCCGCGGCTCTCTAATGCGCGTAGTTTCCTGGACTCGGCATCTAACTTATATAATTATACATACAGGTTATCCTGTTAGCGTCCTTTTTCCTCGCCAAATTCGCCAAAATTAATGGCGCGCCAACAGAGGAAATTCCTGTACACACATTTTATGCAGAGAAAATGCCTACACACAAATCACACTATACATCAATGTATGCAGTGTGTGCACATGTGGTAGGGTGGTAGAACTACACCCAGGACGGCTCTTTCTTTTAATTAAAAGAAAAGAAGAAGAAGAGTTGCCCCGAGTGGGATTCGAACCCACGACATTCTGCAGTCTAAGCTACAGGGCAACTCAGCTGGTAGGGGTATATACAACGCAACACAAAGGCACACCTCAAACCACTGTGCTATGGCACAGTATACTCTCACTGTGTACATTGACATGACTTATTGGACACTACCTTATGCTGAACTCTTTACCTTTCAGCTGCCATGATTCGGATCTCATAGTTGAAGTCCTTCTTGGTTTTAATGAGGGGAAGAGTGGGAGGTAATTTTTCTGGTAGAGCAGTAGTAAGTCCAATGGTCTATCAAAACAAGATGAATGATGTACATACTAGTGGAAATGCTTGGCATTGTGACACACAAATCACGCTATACATCAATGTATGCAGTGTGTGCGCATGTCTCAACAACATGGTAGTGAGGTAGAATGGCATGGCAAGGCAAACAAGTCAACTACACCCAGGACAGCTCTTTCTTTTCAAAGAAAAAAGAAGAGTTTCCCTGGGTGCATTACTAGCGATAATATAGCTAGCTATGTATATATAACCTACAGGTAAAATGTTTCAGCAAGTAACAGAAGTTATTAGCTATGGTGTTGTCTGTATGTTGCAGTGAAACTACCAGAAGAAAGTAGCAACGGAACGGTAGTGTAGCCCGACGTTGCCTTGCCCGCCCCCGCTCTCGATCTCGTAATCGTCGCTGAAAAAGACGAGCCTCTCTGTCGTGAGGACTTTCGACGGCCGGGCGTTCTGTCTGTCTACCTCTTTGAACAGAAGCAGTATCGTTGCTGGACGTGAACTGAACCCCAGGTGCGTAATATCGGCGCATACGCATAACTACGACGGACCCCCGCTCGCCCAATTATGCTATTTAGTTGTTGCTTGGGCCTGAGTGCAAGTGTACGGGGCGCCGTTTGTTCCAAAACTAATTCTCCAACAACGCATAGGTAATATGTCCACTATATATAAATTTGCTGCAATATTTAGGATATGTAGACTACGACGACATTTATAAATCGACCATGACATTTATAAATCGACCAAGACATTTATATATCGACCGTGACATTTATGACTCCACTGAATGTAATTGACACGGGAGGCGTGGCAAAGGACGCTTGAGTGCATAATTCCATAAGAAAGAGTCCGTTTTTAGGGATTTGACGCATGCGCACGCCACACCCGCCCTTGGCTAGCTGGCTATGCAGCTCCATTTCCTGGTCGTCTTCGTCGATTTATAAATGTCGTCGTACATATCCTAAATATTGCAGCAAATTTATATGCGGACATACGTATTACCTATGCATTTTTGGAGAATGAGTTTTGACAAACGGCGCCTCGTACCAAGTGTGATAAAGTTGGCACAGTTATGACCTAACGCCTAACAGTTTTGGTGCCAACATAGTCCACTAGAGATTGTTCTAGGCTAGCCACTCCCAAGAGCCTTGTGCGCGTTTTGTTGCCAAGGGGGATGTATATACCTTAGATATTTAGGCAAAAGGAAACATGTGGAATGTGTAGGATTGTTCAGTGTACGTAGCTATTATACTGACGGGTAACTGACGGGTAACTACAATGTTCCGCTAAAACAAGATAAACAAGTATCTAAACCATGGAACACTCAGTAACCATTACTGTACGTTTCAACACCCTTTGCACTCTCTTTCTTATTCCCTTCTCTTCTCACACCACACTTTCACGCACAAGTTAGCTAGCTAAATCCATTAATAAAACACAGTTCTCTGCCAGCTCTCTTTTTCTTTTGTGTGTGTAGCTACGGAATTTTCACTTACCAGTCCTCTTTGCCAACGCTCAGTAGTTTTCAACAGCTCTATACGCCACGCCGTGTTAGTTGGTATGGGGTCTTTAGTGTATGCTATGCAGCCATCTTCGTGCTCGTCGAATTTCATCCGTTCAACGACGGTCGGCGAACCGTAAAAGCTGTCCCAAAATTCAGCTCTCTCTCCATGCTTGGCAGCATTGAGGGGCATCGGCCCGACCGACCAATCGTCAAAACTGAGTGGAACACGGCTTGCTCCGGTGGTGCTCATAGGTATATATGTCTGTACGAAAATAAGCTGGTGTGCGAGGGGTATGCGGCTATATATATCTACTCCAGATCCGCCCATCTAAGCTCGCGATCGCGATCAGGGTGTGGCAGGCCGGCTCCGTGAATCATCGTCTATAATGTCACGCGTGATACCGACTCACTCTCGAGAGCAATATCTTGCACTCACACTCGAAGAAACCTTTGCTGTGTTGCTCCAACGATAATACTGAATGTTGAACATTGTTGGCGAGCGGGAGCGACCCAACTTGGGATTTGCCTGCGATGTTCGGGCTGCATAACGTGCCGTCAGCGTACAGCTTTCCTTTCGTGAAGCAAGACAGAGCTACCTGTCGCCCGCCGTTACAAAGTAATACAGTATACGCATGTAACGGCGGGCGACAGGTAGCTCTGTCTTGCTTCACGAAAGGAAAGAACGGTGAGCAGGTGAGCAGAACGACTTCATACCTACCAACCATCCAGCTTTTTGCTTGATAATCAAGCAAAAAATACTGCCTATCCCACCAGAAAATAGCAAAATCCCTCTTTTTTGTGCTAACCTGTGATGCATCATGCCCATACATTTTGAATGCATTTTCAAGCAAATTCGACACATTTTTCTTTATCTACAGGTTGGTAGGTATGCGCCTTACGCTTTCAACTCGTCTGTCGTGGTTCACCAGGCAGATGGCATGGCAGTAGGCTAAGGCAGCGATCGATCGGGCTGGTTAACTACGCGGCGAGTGTGGCATACCTGTCGCCGTTACATGCGTACTGTATATTGTCAGAACGTGAGCAGAACGGTACTTACCTTACGCTTTCAACTCGTCTGTCGTGGTCCACCAGGCAGCTGGCATGGCAGTAGACTAAAGTCGGCCAGGCAACTATATACGCGGCGTGTGTATAATGCTGACGATTGCGAAATTTCATTCCGTATTTAGAATCACGTAGTGTGCAGTACAGTGCCGTGGTGCCTCCGTCACATAAGGTTAGACACGGAGCCGCGGGAACTACGCGGGAGCCGAGGAATCCTGAGCTGTCGGCGTCCCGAGTGCAGCGAGGGCGCTACCAAGGGCTCCGAGGATCACTAAATCACGTAGTTTCCCAAGGCGACGCGTCTAACCGGCTTAGACTACAGCGCAAGTCCGTCCCCCTGCAGTGTCCGTTCACTCCGTATGTAGGCGTCGGGATCGCGCCGCCCGCCCGTTTGCACGCGTTTTTCCCTGCACGCTTTCTCTAGCGTTTTCCTAGCTCTCTAGTAGTCATGCGCTGCTGCTAGAAGAGCCTGTTCCTGGTTTCTTCGTGGGAAGAACCGCTCAGAAGCTCGGTTCGCCGTCCGCACGCGTGGCGTCTTTTCGAATTGAAGGCGTGGTTGCCGGGGCTATATACTATACCGCGGAAGAGGTAACTAACAAAATTAGTTACCGCTAAACTCCCAATCTGATTGGTAAATTGCGTGTTACCGTAGTCTAATTGGCGAGCGGGAGCGAGCTAACCTAGTGGTATATACGAACGGCGCGGATTATTTATCTACCGTACATCGTCCAACTGCGCATGCTCCAAGATTACGCGCTTCTTTTTATCCGAAAGGATTTGTAAATTTCACATGCTGCCTGCCTGTCGTAATGTCGTGCGTATACATGTACGTGCGTATACGCTGCTTCGTACTCTCGCAATCATGGAAGGATCAGTCCAGAGAAGATGCCCTTCCTCGTCGAAGAGAGAGGGAGAACGTCGTGCCCGTGAGACTCCTGAGCAGAGAGGCTCGTTTGTATCAGCGTCGCTTTCGTGATAGGGAACGCGCAAATTTTTACACGCTGCCCTAGCTTTCATATCGATGCAAAATATAGCCAGCCAAAGAACTCTCGTCTATTTGCTGGCATTCGCTGCGCTCTTCGATACCTGACCGAGGCTGTCTATACCTCCTTCCAATCTTCGTGATTCTAAGGTTCAAGTTGTAGGATGGCTCGTGCAGATAGAGTCATTGTGTGCTCGCTCCCGCTCGCCAAAAATGCCATGCATTCGCCTACTAGTGTATAAAAAATATATATTACTTAAAAATCCTGCGAATCCCACAGGTCATTACAACAGCCCTATATCGTCGTAAAGAGTATTCCTAATTAGTACTGTATATACTACTGGTTAGCAACGATTGTGCGTGGGCGTATGTTTCAGATATTTTTTTTCAATGGCGCAAATTTCAATGAGTTTGGAAAACACACACCCACGCACAATCGTTGCTAATAAAAGCACAGAAGTGCAAACCCTCGGCGAACTGCGCATCTGCCCAACACTCTGTTTCTGATAACGTCAACAAGGCCAGAAGAGCTTTCTTTGCTCTTGGGAGGCTGGGAGCTTTCCAGGGTGATTTAAATCCCCTATCTTCATGCAGTATCTTCGAAACCTGTATTATCCCAATACTACTATACGGCAGTGAGACCTGGTTGCTGGACTCCACCTCTTTCAATACTCTAGAGAGTTTCCAACATGAGATTGGATGCCGCATTTTGCGCGTGCCAAAATTCTACTCCAAACTTGCTGTACGTATCGGTCTTCATTGGCCCACAGTTGCTACCCGTATTCTCATCAGGAAGTTCAGCTTTCTCAGCAAGCTCCTATCACGAACTAAAGACACAATCAGTCGCAGGGTTTTTTCCTCACTTGCAATGGAAAATATATATGATACATCGATAGTCCAACATATAACCCGTTGAAACATATAACCCCGAGCGAAACCCGAGGAAACGTGGAGAAGTTGAGGCCGCTTCGCCCAAGCAAGAGGCGGGAAGAGTTGATCGGAAGAAGGCACGGAAACGCTCGGTCCACCGATCGAAATCTGTCACTGGACCCGGAGCTTACAGACACAAGTGGCGATGGAAGAAAGCCATTGCCTCGTCTAATAACACTTCGCACAGCACTGCCAGTCCTTCCAGTACTCTAAATAATGCCGACCCCTTTCACTTGCTCCAGATGTACAAGGAACGATCCGGAGACTGTCTGACAGGAAACGTGGCACCCACAAACACTAGGACAGAGTTTAGAATCATTCTCAACAGGTTCAACAGCAACAGTGAGACTAGGAACTATGAGCTCTCCTTCGAGCGGGAACCATGAACAACATTCGTACCACCTCATATTATTTCAAATCTATGTATATATTTTATAAATAAACACCAACCATTGTATATATAAAAAGGTCTCTGCTTACGTAATATACTGTAATAATAATTTCCAAATCCAAACTGGGTTTGTTGGGGAGAGACTGCAAATAGCCAAGAATAATGAAAAGTGGTTCGAGAAACAAAAAGTTATTTCCTCAACATGTTTTACCAATCACTAAAACCACATCATTCACTCTCCACCCATTACTAAAAACACAAATTCCTTTTTACCCCAGATATATATAATACAGCATAATACTTCACGAATAACATGTATAAAAGGAAAGTCAAACTCAATCTGTGTAGGTAGCTAGATTTATTGCACAGTGCAACATTGGCAGCATTTAGTTTTGCCTGAGGTTGAATAATATAAAAATGTAGAGGGGTTAGTAACATTCTTGGGGCAAAATCAATAAAACCTACCATCCGGATGTGGTGGAATTAAAGGAGTTCTTTCATTAGCTACAAAAAAGTAAGCAGTGTAGAAAGTCCATAATTATTATTACAGTATAGCTATAATACCTTCAGGATTATGTGACGTTTCACCACTGGAAACTGCAATCTCATTGTCATTAGACTCAGGCATACCATTAGCTACCTGGTTTGTGCTTCCATTCTGTGCTGTTTCACTGTCTGATAAGCTGGAAACTGAAAAGAGTAATAAAAATCTTTAAACACACGCTCAAAGTAAATACATGTTGAACAGATGCTACAATAATAGTCGGGGGGAACATTTCACTGCTTGGAGCTGATTTACAATTTGTTGTGAATAGGGATATTAATGGTAGCTACAGCGAGTCATTCTCCACAGTGTTCTGAGAGGCTTTTTGTATGCGCGTCACGTGAGATTTGACCTGTGCCATTCCTACATAGAGCACCTAACGACACGAAAGCTGAACAAGCAATGGGAACGTAGTTCAAACTCTCTACCTGGCAAAGCTGACGGTGAGACAATTCCAAAATGGTTTTTAATTCTATCGGCGAGATCTTCTAGATGACATCTCTGGAGACAGTCACAGAGGGTCGCCCACGATGCACCTTGTTTTAACCACCTCCTATAAATTCCCGTCATCTTAGCCGTTTGAGTTCTGTTGTTGTGCTCAATTTCTGCTAGTTGATCTCCATGTCTGTCATTGAGCAACATAATGCCTATTTGATAGTACTCGCTGGCACTTTCTTCAATGATTCTAATATCACCCAGCTGATTCAGGCTTACTAGCGTCGGTTTCTCAATATCTGCACATTTTAAAGATAATATTATATACTTTTGATAGCCCTAAGAAAACTAACCTTCGTGACTCAAATTAGACTTAGTTGGATTTAGTAGAATTTGAAAGTTGACATCTCTGTCGAGGCCTGTCACAGAAAATATCTGTGAACATAACTTTGCTTTTCTTGAGGCTATTATGATGAAGGTAGAACGAGGAGGGTAGTGTTTTTTTGAGAAACTATCACGACCCTCAAAATCAATATCCCCCTTGAAAAACTGCAAGAGCACATCAAAGATAAATCTTGGAGCCATGTTTGAATGCTTACTTCGCAATGCTGAGTGTCTGCAGTTATTTTCCACCCTTTTCTATTACGAGGAAGGGAGACACGGGCGTTGGAATCTTGAAAAACAACCGGAACTTTTGATATTTCTGAAACCGAGGTGTTCCACGCCTCCTGCAGTGCATCTCTGAAATTCTAGAGAAAAGTATTAATCAATATTATTTTATAGTTTTGGCCTTACAATATATACACATAGTATATAGGGTGGATCACCTTCCCGGAGATTGGGATACCCTTCCCTATTAGTGTCAGGATTAGAGGGGTTCCACTGTACTTATGTAGCTAAGTGTGTATCTCAATAATTCACAACAGTTACCGTCATGTAAACTTCATTTGCCACTGAAATAGACAGACCAACATGTTTGGTATCACCATCTTTGTTGGAATAGCAACACATCACCGCGTAGCCTATAGAAAGTCGAGAAAAGCAGTGTCACAAAAAGCATACATATTATATTAATTTATTAGCCATAATAACTTACGGGTCGGTGGAGTTTTAGCTGCCTTTGTTGCGACTACAAAAAAGCCCAGTTCATTTGTTTTGAGTCTACCACGTGGTTTTCCAACTTCAAACTTTCCTCCTTGTAAAGGGCTAAATTGGATCTTACTACTTCCGTCTTCTGGAAGATTAGCATGGCAAAAAACCATATCCCCCGCTTGCTCGATACTTTCGATATTCACGCTGTGCTCCAGCAAAACCTCAACTTCTTCCTTGAGAGGTTTGTTGGAAGCAATGTAGGAGATCGGACTGAGGGATTTGTAGCCAGCAGCGTAGGCTAATGACTGGGGGGTGCATGTTGTGAAGGCAAAAGTCAGCGGTCTGTCGCCCTCCATTGTGGCTTTTGGAGGAACTTTGAGGACAGCGCCGATGCCACAAGGAACAACAGTGACTGTCTTCTCGCTGGGTGGGACTTCGACTTTCACCGCTCGCTTCTCCTTGAAACAATCCAATGGAGGAAGAGCGACATCAATAGAATGATGCTGGGGCTCAGGGGCAGCTGTATATAAAAGATAGAAGTAAGGTATTGGCTGTTTTTTCAGTGAACTCATTCCGTAATCTTCAAAATTATAATTCAGGACATGTCCCGTTTGTGCTTGAATGTAACACACAACTGAGTATCATACAATCATCAATAATAATTATCAGCCTAACACTGCACGCAGTGTACGCTCGTAAATGGAGAGGGGATGGGTTCCACTGAACCTAGTAGAAATCAATCTACATAGACTTATTGAGTTGCTTTACCGATCAGTTATTCTCACCTGCATTTCCGTCGGGTGGCTTACTCAGTAGTTCAGACTTGATCCGTGCACATTTTCCAGACACTTCTACGGCTCCCCATAGAGGCCTGTCTACTGGGAGACCAGACGCCAGCTTCCTAATGTGCCTCTCATCGAAATAGATGTGCAGGTCTCCTTTAGCGGTGAGGATGAGGCAAATTGATTTATTTTGGGGAAAATTCCAGTAGAGTCGTTGACTTCGACCCAAGGTGTTTGCATGCACCCTTGCATCAACTGGCTCACTGCAATCGGTGAAAGCACAATAATTGTAAGATCAACACACATCCTATTATACAGCATCATGTGCCATTGCAGCTAGAAAAACAGCACAATTTATACCACTTACACATAATATCATGCACAGTAAACTGATAAGATTGTGTATACAGAAATCTATTTGTGGAGCTATTCAGTAACGAAACAAAGTTGCAACACAAAGTTTAGACAGTATAGCTTACATTTTGGGCCAAACTTTTGTAATTTTGCACTGGACGCTCTTTCCACTCTGTCATGATTACAACAATTAATATAAGGTCTTTTACCTTGAGTATATGATGTCATAATAGAAGTCTTCGTGGAGTGGAAGGGTATGAGGCACTTTGTCAGGTGGAGCAGGAGTCAGTCCTATTGTCTGTTCGACCAACAACGAAATATGATATCGCTGATTAGCTAGATTTTGACATTCAGAATTGCTATGTAGCTAGCTACACATGTGCCTTCCCCTAAGTTCCCCTTTTTATCAGAATGTGTAAGTTTGGTAGTGAATTTCTTCATGTGGTTACATGATTGTGATAGAGGATTAACTTGTGGTTAGCTTAGGTCAGGCAAACTCTGGGGTTGCAGGAGTTGCATAATAGCCAGTTGCTTAGTCTACACAAGGCTGCCAGGCGGTACGAAACTGCTTACAATCTATGCTTGCACCCTAACGCATAAAACGAAGGGGGTAATAGTTAGCTAGCCATGATTTGACTTACCAGCCCAGTGTCATAATTGGCAGTTTCCAGCACTGTGATACGCCAGGCGCTCGGTGTGCCTATTGGTATGGGATCTTTGGTGTATACGATGCAGCCATCTTGGTGCTCGTTATACTTCTCCCGTTCAACGATGGTCGGCAAACCGTGAAAGTTGTCCCAAAACACCGCCCTCTCTCCGTGTTTAGCGGCGTCAAGTGGCATCGGCCGAACGGACCAATCACTAAAGTCCGGCGCAGAAAGACGTGGAGACGTGGGCTCCGCACTTTCGCTGGTAGGAACTCATGTTGCAGCCACTTTAGCAGGCCACAGGTCAAGCAACCAAGTGGATACGAGTCGCCGCAAGCTTGGAGTCGCCCGCTTTTTGTGCCCCCACAGGGAGGGTTGTGTAGTAGGGGTGTAATTCGGGTGGCCGTGCATGCGCATGCGCCCTCCGAGAGCCACCAAGATAACCCTCGGTGCGCATGCGCAGCTAGGGTTACGCGTGTGCGTGTGTTACTCCTCATCTCACTTCTCGAGTGTTCGTTCGTCTCACAAAGGATACCACCTACTTAACGGGCAATGAAGGTCATAAATTTCGAACGGTTTTCTCTGAAAACGCTCCGTTGCAAAGCTAGAGCGCTTCCACCATTGTAGGCTATATCGCTGCGGAAAACGCGCATGCGCTTATTAACTTCGCCGGGTCTGCTTGCTCTGGAAGGTACAAGAAGTCACAACGAAGGGCGTGTATCGACTCCCGCATGCTGTCTACTACTGTAGCTAGCCCGTGTCAGACTCTCCGCGAGCTACTACCAGCTGGAGACCTAGCCCAGCCCATCAATTAGCGGTACCGCGCATGCGCAGTTCGCAGAGCGCTTGCACTTTATTGCTAAACAGGTTCAGTGAGACAAAGAGTAAAACTGCTAGAAAATGACATGGATAGAACTTAGAAATGGATTCTTGCAACACCTTCAGCTAAAAAAGATGAAGATAAGGACATAATATGTATGGAAATATGGGCTTAATTAAGAATCTCTTTACCTCCTGAAATAAGAACGTAGACTCTCCCCTGCAAGCATTAAACTCCAATTATTTCACAGCTAGCTACTATATTTACATTAATTTTACCTAGCCATGAGCCGAGAGATATTGGTGCATTACTCATTGGGTAACGACCTATATAATAACAATAGCAATCAATCATTAGCTATATTATACGTACTATAAATTTCAGCTGGTGAAGTTGGCGGGGAAACCATATGAAAGTGGTTTTCAATCTTTAGGGCGAGTGTATGAAGATTACATTCTCTGAAACACTCACAGAGAGTTGCCCACGAACAGTATGGGTCTTCCTCCAGCCATTTTACATATACCTCCCTGATTTTATCGGCCGCAGTTTTCCTGTCCATTTCAATGGCTTGCAAGCGGTGCCCATACCTGTCCTTGAGTAAGAATGTACCAATGCCACGATAGTGGGGAGCAGTTTCTTGCATGATTCTGATGTCCCCCAACCGATCCAAGGTGAGCAGATCAGGCTTTTCTATGGCTAAATTAATGCTTTTAAAGTTAAAATTAATTGCGTTGCAAAACTAACCTTGGTCGTTTACAACAGTCGGGGCAGTTGGATTCAGCTGAATTTGAAAGCAAATCTCATCAGTAAGACCAACTATAGCAAACGGCAGTGTACAGGATTGACATTTCCGGTAGCTTTTATAGCGAAGGTAAAACGAGGAGGGTAGTCCATTTTTGCCAGACAATCACGACCGTCGTAATCAATGGTCTCCTTAGGAAACTACAAACAAGTCAAATTTGGTTATTCACATTGTGACAAAGATTCACACTCACATCACAATGTGAGTGTCTGCAGTTATCTCCCACCCTTCATAATTCTGTGGAAGGAGCACACACGCACTGGAACCTTCAAAGACAACAGGAACTCTTGATCTGTGAGATACTGAGGTCTTCCACTCCTCTTGCAATGAATCTCTGAAATTCTGGAGAAAAAATTGCAACATTCAAGGTTTTCTAGGTAACTCATTCCAAATTGTGTAGTTGCATGCAGAAGTAAATTAGAGTTCAAATCCCCTTGGTGGCGGTTAAATTAACACTTTAACAAACCACAGACACATTGTGTCCAGAGCCTCCATAAAGCAATAAGAATTTATATGGGGGTTACAAAAATTCAGCTTATTTAAGAAGCTACCCATGGTGCAAGGGTTAAACCTTACTTATTACACCAGAGTTAATTATTAATTGAGATCCCAAATTACCGTCATGTAGACCTCATTTGCCAGTGACATTGAAATACCAGCATGTCGTGTGCCACAATCTTTGTTAGAGAAACTGAACATCACAGCATAGCGGTTTTCTGCACAACAGTGTATACATGAACAGCATTGTCAGAGAAAGTCATCACTGCACCTAAGTGAACAGTACACCTACCAATTTTTGAAGTGTCAGCCACTTTTGTTCCAGCGTTAAGAAAGCCCAATTGATTTGTTATCAGGCTGCCATGCTCTCCCCAACGTTAAACTTTCCTGCTGGGATTGGGATAAACCGAACCTCTTTACTTCCGTCTTCTGGAGGTTGTGCAATGCAGAAGATCATTTCCTCTGCTTGCTTGCTGCTTTCGATATTCACATTGTGCTCCAGTAAAACTTCAAGTTCTTCCTCGAGAGGTTTGTTGGAAGCAATGTAGTAGATTGGACTGAGGGATTTGTAGCCGTCAGGATAGACAAAGGACTCAGGTGTGCATGTTGTGACGGCAAAAGTTGTAGGAGCACCGGTCTGCTGCAATGCCTCAGGAGGAACCTTTAGGGCGATCCCGAGGCCACGAGGAGCGATAGTGACTGTCTTCTCGCTGGGTGTGACTTCGACTTTCACCGCCTTGTTCTTGAAGCAGTCCATTGGAGGAAGGGCAACATCGTCAGCATGATGTAGGGTAGTGGTTGTGGCTGTGGATAAAGCTCACTTTACTCTAGCCTGGTATACATACAAAAATCTCACATAGTTTTTTGTCTCACATTTTATGCAGGGTGCCTACTATAATGGAAACCGAACACACACACTGGGACCATGAAAGTTGTTGAGGAAAGCGTTTTTTGCAGGTTAAATTTCGGGGCTTACCATAATACAATTGCCCACCTGCCTCTCCTTCCAGTGGTTTAAGAAGCAGTTGAGATTTGATCTGCACACATCTACCAGAGACGTCCACCGCTCCCCATAGAGGCACATCTACTGGGAGACCAGACTCAATCTTCTTGATATGCTTCCCATCAAAGTAGATGTGGAGCTCCCCATTTGGAGTGAGGTAGAGGCAGAGGGATTTACTGATGCCAGTATCCCAGAGAAGTGGAAGATTTCGAGCCAAGGTACCAGCTCGTGGCCTCATATCACTCGCCTCACTAATAGTATAGAGCAAAATTGTATAACTTACCCTATAATTGGGGGTCTGGTCAAGTTATGTACATTGATGCAGTGGAAATTCCTGTACGCATGCCTACACACAAATCACGCTATACATCAATGTATGCAGTGTGTGCGCATGTCTCAACAACATGGTAGTGAGGAGGCAAGGCAAATAAGTCAACCACACCCAGGACAGTTCTTTATTTTCAAAGAAAAGAAGAAGAAGAGTTGCCCTGAGTGGGATTTGAACCCACGACACTCTGCAGTCTATACTACCAACTGAGCTACTAGGGCAACTCAGCTGGTAGGGGTTCGAACACAACACAAGGCTCAAACCACTGTGCTATGGCACAGTATACTCTCACTGTGCACATTGACATTACTTATTGGACACTATAATATACTTTATGCTGAACTCTTTACCTTTCTGCTGCCATGTATCGGATCTCATAGTTGAAGTCTTTCTTGGTTTTAATAAGGGGAAGAGTGGGAGGTAATTTTTCTGGTAGAGCAGTAGTTAGTCCAATGGTCTATCAAACAAGATCAATGATATATAGTGGAAATGCTTTGGGCAAGCGGAGTTAGCCTTAAGTGAACTGTAGCACAAGTATATACAACCATCATCATTACTAGCGATATTATATAGCTACGTACCTACAGGTTAAATGTTATTATGGTGTTTGTTATAATAATTATTATGTTGCAGAAGTAGCAGCGGAATGATAATTTGTAGCCCGATGTCGCCTTGCCTGCTCTTCATCTGAATGTGTTAATTGGGCCTGAGTACAACTCCCAAGAGCCTTGAGCAGTTGCCAAGGGATAGGCCCAGGGGATGTACCTTAGCTAATTTGATAAGCAAGGGCAACTAGAAACACCACTCTATCTGGAATGTGTAGGATTGTTTCAACAATATCTACCTAGCTATACTGTAGGCCTGCGTCGATTATTCCGGAATAATTTCGGGAATAATAGGTCCCTCTGGGAATAAGAATAATTCCAAGAATAATAGGTTGAAAGTTGCGACGAGCGGGCAACGGCGGCAACTCGGAACTCGCGGAAGGGCGAAGTGTGAGTGCCGAGTGGACGTGCGTCATGTTGCAGTACAATGATCGTGATGTTTATTTATGTGCCTGCTCTGTAGTACTGTTTTTTTTCATTTTTGAAGCAGAATAATAGGTAAATTTCTGTGAATAATAGGTAAACTTTAAAGAATAATAGGCATGTGGAGTAGGAAATTCAGAATAGAATATCCGGACAAATTGTGGGAATAATAGTCTCAGGCCTACTATACTGACCCGGGTACCTAGCTATTATAGCTACAATGTGACGCTGAAAAAAGATAAACACGTATCTAACACTCAATAACCATTACTGTGTACGTTTCAACACCCTTTGCACTCTCTTTCTTTACTCTCTTCTTTTTCTCACACCATACTTTCACGCACAAGTTAGCTAGCTAGCTAAATCCTATGCCAGCTCTCTTGTTTTTCGTGTGTATATACTTATAATATGAAAATTTCACTCACCAGTCCTCTTTGCCAACACTCGGTAGTTTTCAACAGCTCTATACGCCACGCCGTGTTAGTTGGTATGGGGTGTTTAGTGTATGCTATGCAGCCATCTTCGTGCTCGTCGAATTTCATCCGTTCAACGACGGTCGGCGAACCGCAAAAGTTGTCCCAAAATTCAGCTCTCTCTCCATGCTTGACAGCATTGAGGGGCATCGGCCGGACCGACCAATCGTCAAAACTGAGTGGAACACGGCTTGCTCCGGTGGTGCTCATAGGTAGGTATGTCGAAGGATATAATTATATGCGGCTATACTCCAGATCTGCCCATCTAATATAGCACTGAAGTGCAAACCCTCGGCGAACTGCGCATGCGCGGTATATTAGTATGCGGTCTCCCGCTAGTATAATATAGCTCGCAGAGAGTCTGACACGGGCTAGCTACAGTAGTAGATTAGCATGCTAGAGTCGATACACGCCTTCA